TTTTTATAAATTAATTAATTAATATTAAAACATAAAACAAAAGTAAATATGTTTGTAAATACTTAATTTTATACTCACCAGATATGATATAAACATAAGTAAGGATGGTATCCTGAGATATAATTTGAATTGAAACAGGACTACGATGTTTTAAGAATTTTTTCTTTTATAATAAATTATGTCTCATTATTTTATTTTATTAATTCGTATATTTGAAATATTTGTCCAAAAGAAATTATCATTCTTATTTGTAAAAAAAATTGTTAAAAAAATATTTTGCTTGAAACAGAGTCCTGAAAGAATTTTACATTTTCCTTTTTTTGTTTACACGAATATATGAATTGAGGATAAATGGAAGGTTAGGCTCTGCCACAGACTCTGGAAAGCAGAGAGAAAAGGATGATGATGATGATGATGACGGGTTTACTGGGTTGTTCTTGCCAGAACCAAACAACTCTGAAACTGCCTTCAATTCCCACTTTCTCTTCCTTACCTTTCCTTTTCAAAAATTCAACCTTTTCTTTCCACAAATCGTCATTGCCACGTCCCATCAAAGCTCTCTCTTCTGCCATCCTCCAAACAGCTACTCCTAAGGCCCCTCAAGACCAGGGTCAGTCTCAGGGTTTCTTCTCTTTCACTTTACCAGCGGAACTCAATAATAAAATATCAATTTGGTCTTGCAGGTGTCAAGCTTCAATGGAAGGCCACGGTGGACTTCAAGTGGATAAAGGATAACAAGGAAGCTGTTGCTGCCAACTTAAGGAACCGTAACTCTGACGCTGATTTGGATCTTGTTCTCCACCTTTATGACGAAATGCTTACTCTTCAGAAGGTTATGTCATGTTATGTTTCTCTTCGATCCTTTTCCTCTTATTTAAACTACCTATTCTGAATAGATTGAAATATAGCAGTCCATTAAATGTCTTGTTTTTCATTGATGAATACCTGCTGTATCTCAGTTACGTAGAGCAAAGATAATGGGTGAATTTCTGGAGCTTATTTCCTGGCTTGTATTTGGATGAAGTTATCTTGTTATGCTTACACGAGAAATAAACCATCAATCTTGAGTGGTTCCTAAAGGAATAATTTTTGTTTAAGTAATCCCTTGAAATATTGAGTATTCATCTCCTTAGTTCATCTGACGTTAAGGGACTAACTTGAAAGAGTTTTCAGTTGTTAAGAGACTACATAAAGCCTCCTTGGACAAATTTGTCCATACGTACTTTTAGGAGAAAATAACTGAATGAGTTTTTCATTAGTTAAAATTATCTTATGCGTGAACTAAAATATAGAAGCTCTATCGTATAACTTCTCCAATTTTTATTTCTTTTTAAACTTGTGTATGAGGTAAATTTAGGTCATGGAGAATTTTGTTTCATTTTTTCCCCTCTACTATGAGTGTTTTATAGGAATGTTTGTCCACAGAGGCCCTTCATACGATTTCAAACACTTCCCATATTAGTTAGATAGTTTGTTTTACTTACACTATATATACGAGAGTAATAGTGCAGGGGTGGAACTGATGGTTCACTCTTAAACAAATAAGAAGGAAAAATATATTGAGTTTCTTTATACACTAATATATTAATTTATGCACTTAATTTTTATAGCTCTTTCAACCAACTTCTCCAAAGAAGGTACATAAGATGATTTTTGCTCATGAGAGAAATTCAACTCATTTTACCTTCGAGTTTTTTCTCTTGCAAGTGTTTATGGAGAAGTTTATTAATATGAAACAAAAACTTTTATGATTATGTTAAATATAAGCTACCAACCGTGGATTAAATGCTTGAAAGATGGGTATTGGTGTAATGTCTTCAGCTCTTTGTTCTCAATGGCTTGGCTAATTTGTTTCTTACAGATAGCAGGAAGTTGAGAGGGTTCGTGGAGAAAGAAATGCAGTTGCTAACAAGATGAAAGGAAAATTAGATCCCTCTGAGCGTCAAAGATTGATTGAGGAAGGTACTTTTGGTGCTATTTTTCACCCAACTGTGCATTTTGGGTTAATTTCTTAAGACGCTTTTTGTATGCAGGGAAGACTTTGAAGGAGGGACTTGCTGCTTTCGAAGATGACCTAGTGGAGCTTAATAATAGGCTTCAGCTGGAAGCACAGTGTATACCAAACATGACACATCCTGATGTTCCAATAGGAGGCGAGGATTGTTCCACCATAAGGAAAATGGTATTTCAGTTATACAAATTTCTTCCTTTCTTCTTCTGGAAGAGAAAAGTTGGTTGTTGATGATGTTCATGCATTGATTTCTTTTCCTCAAATATTAGTTATTGTGAACGTGTAACATTTTAGGTTGGCAGTTCTCCAAATTTCAGCTTTCCTGTCAAGGATCATCTCCAACTAGGGAAGGAGCTTGATCTATTTGATTTTGATGCAGCTGCAGAGGTATACTTAGATTAGTTAAAGCATCATTTATTTGCCGCTTGGCAAAGTCTGGTATCAGTTTGAGTTGTAGGGTTATATGTGAAATGTTGCACTGTGACCCTGAAATGGTATTACAATCTATTAAGTTAGTATCACTTTTATTTTCCAGGGAATGAATCCGTGCCTTGAGGTAGCATATTCTCTTATCTGAATGTAGCCAATAATGTTTTGTATATGACATGAAATTGACTAGGTCTTGAACTTTTCTAAAATTAAATGCTTCTTCTCTATCACTGTTATTGTATACAATATTAAGACCTGATTCTCAGTTCTAACTTTGACAATAACTTTTCATAATTAACTTTGATGGTGACTTATTCCTTACTTTTTATTTTAATCTTCAAGATGAAATTTAGATCCTCTAAAGAAGAACTAGGATATGATTGGCAGTTGACTTCAGTTTGTCTTTTGGATGTATATCTAACATGCTGCTTCACAGGTCAGTGGGTCAAAGTTCTACTACCTGAAAAATGAAGCAGTTTTGTTAGAGATGGCTCTTGTAAATTGGACACTCTCTGAAGTGATGAAGAGAGGCTTTACTCCATTAACAACCCCTGAAATTGTGCGATCCTCTGTTGTTGAAAAATGTGGATTCCAACCGCGTGGAAATAATACCCAGGTTTGTGAGTGTGTATCTCTTAACAATGCTCTCTTTCTCAAAATTTGTTATTAAATTATTCTTGACCTTCATGATCATGGCCATAAGATTCATAGCTCATGACAAACATTTTTGCCAACCATTTATCTGCCGTTAGAAGAATGTGTCCTTTTAATCCTTCCGTTTCCATCTTGTTTTATATTTTGCTAGAGTTAAGGGCTACAAAGGTCGTACAGTTATAATCATAATACGGCTTCTAACCTTGTTTCATGATGCAAAACATTGCATCATCATTTAATTTTTCCTAAAATTTCCTTGTATGTCCTGTGTTTAATTAGATGATTAAAGTTCATAGCGTTTGTTGATGTTCTTGCCGAACATTGAACAGATTTATTCCATCGATGACAGTGACCAATGCCTCATCGGCACTGCAGAGATTCCTGTTGGTGGCCTTCATATGGATTCTATACTCTCTGACTCTTTCCTACCTTTAAAATATGCGGCATTTTCTCATTGTTTCCGAACGGAGGCGGGTGCTGCTGGCACTGCTACAAGGTTCGAACATTCTAGTTTTGACCAATGGATTTGAATCCCCTTAATAATTTTCAATCTTTTTTAATATACAGGGGGAATAAAAACCATTTGTTGCATGTATTAGATTGGACTTTACTAAATTTATTTAACCAGTTGAAATTCCTATTCTGAATGTCTTATAGTACAAACTAATGTTAATGTCTTCAAATATTTGGTTTTTCAACCTTTTCTGATCATAGTTGTCACTGACTACTGAGCAGAGGTCTTTATCGAGTTCACCAGTTCAGCAAGGTTGAAATGTTTATTTTCTGCCGCCCCGAAGAGAGTGAACATTACCACCATGAGCTGATTAAAATTGAAGAAGACCTCTTCTCATCCCTGGGATTGCATTTTAAGTGAGCGCTACTACTTTTCACTTTTAGTTCTTACAATCTTTCTTCATTGTTTAACATAATTCCATTATTATATTTATTCTAATAACTAAGCTTCTATGCAGAACTTTGGATATGGCCTCTGCAGATCTAGGTGCACCTGCCTATCGTAAATTTGATGTGGAGGCATGGATGCCTGGTTTAGAAAGGTTTGGTGAGGTACTGCAACAGCTCCTTCCTTTTCCATCTTGCAATGCACATCTCTACACTTTTTATGCCCATTGGGCTGAGATTCTTGCTTGAGTAGAGTGCAATGCCTGGAAGCATGGCTAGTCAAATTAAAAAAAGTTCAAGATATTATTAAAATAATTCCTGCACAGAACTTACTATAATGTTAATATATCTGGAGTTTTTAATTTATTGTACCTGTTGATATGACCTCTATAACCCGTAGATATACTATTATTGTGCAAGTATTAGTCTTGCTTGCTGTAAGAGAATACTGCATTTTGTTTTATTATTTATTTGTTAACAATGATTAGCATCTTGATGCTAATCCCATATACAAAAATCATGTGGTTTTCAATATAACTTGTTGAGCCTTGTTATTGTGACAGATCTCTAGCGCTTCAAATTGCACAGATTATCAGAGTCGTCGTTTGGGAATAAGGTATCGTCCTGCATCAGAAGCACAGGTGACAAGTGGAAAAAAATCTAAAGGCAATCTTGCTCCACCACAGTTTGTTCACACATTAAACGCAACAGCTTGTGCAGTACCACGGATGATTATATGTTTGCTTGAGAATTACCAACAAGAAGATGGATCTGTCCTTATCCCCGAGCCCTTGAGGCCTTTCATGGGTGGCCTTAGTGTCATATCCAGAAAATCATTGTAAGTGATCACAGTCTTTGTTTCCATTTGGAGGATGCTGTTGCGGCAGAGTATACTATGGTGATAGATGAGTTGAATCAATTTTCATCAGAATGATATTTTTACAAATGATCTTACTGATTTTTTATCCTTACAAACTAGAGATTTTGTATTGTTACCCTTTCTTCCTCTGGAATGTAGCCACACAAATTTGATAATGCAACGTGTATGTAATTTTTTTATTGAGAAGGATAATGGGAGGGACATAATTTTTTATGTCTGCGAATCTCATTTTATTTGACATCTAAAATTATAAAGTCATATCAAACACATGAAAATATAGAAAGTTGAAACTATATAATTTCCAGTAAATAATTTTTTTATTATTATGGGTAAAAAAACTTTTTCCGGAAACTTGTAGAGGAAACGCATTTATTTTCCACGTGTTAAATGAGCCGCCTGTATAGGTCCATATTTGACCATAAATCTTCCATTTATAAATTTCGTAATGCGTATTTTAACATCTCCAAATTTAAAAGGAGAAAATGAGATTTTTTTTAAATAAATAAAAAATTCATATATATATATATATATATATATATATATATATATATATATATTGCTGTTCCAAGCCAAAAACGATGCAGAGGGTAAAAAGATCATATGATGGGGAAAAAAATTCTTCACTTCAGGACTAACCATATGGAACTATGAATTATGTTGGATTAATTAAAAATTGTAATCCCAATAATGAATTTCACGAAAAAACATATTTGCAGTGACGTGTGGTTTGAGTCCGTGGCCATATCTAAAATGCTTTACATAAACAAGGAATGCTCACTGAATGAATCAAAGAATCGTGCCTTCCAAAAGACCCAATCACACTCAAGAATCTAATCTAACGTTCTCTTCCTCACCAACTTGATATATCTTTCATCTTCTTTCTTTCCCCTCCCTACTTCCTTTTCTTTTCTATTGTTGTAATATTTTTTTTCAATATGTACAACACATCCTTTAAGCCATATGGATCCATTAAAGGAAAAAATATTTTGCTTTATCTAGCCTACCTATACCGAGAAGCGTTTACAGAGAGTGATTCTGTCCGACATAAACAACCTGGTAAAGGGTTTGCATAAAATGTTTCTTCTGAACGAAACCTGTCCGAGCCCTTTGTTCCAGAAACGGGTCCTTTTCTCTTTCTGAAGAAGCCAAGCCTGCTCAACAACTCATGATAAACACTATGTCATAACCAAATGTTTTCCTTTTTCATCAGCACTTTATCAAAATTCTTAACAAACTATATTCTTGTTCAAACTATCTAACTGGAAGAAACAAAACCAGAAACATAAATTAAACAAACTTGTTTGACGAATACATTAATGCATGTCCTATCACTTACCGTCTTCTGTGGAGATCGATAATTTTATTAGACAGTGTTTTCCCCTCGGTCATTGATCCATTTTTCAGTTTATCAAATAAACGAACAAGCGCTTTCCTGATAACAGAAGTGAGGTCACGCAGAAAGAACACCTTTGTAATGATGTACAACTTTTGAAAGAGAGTCTCACCTGTCAGGAGATATTGTTCTTCCTCTCCCGAGAAATCGACGATGCCCTTCAACGGCCTTCGCCATGTTTCCAGGGTAAGAATGTACAAACACATCACTTTCAACTGATACAATATAGTCCAGAGCAGCCATTTGAGACCCATGACTAGAAAAGGGTTCAAGCTCCTCCATGGATACCAACTTTTCCTGAAATTAGTCATACGTCATCAACATCATATCAATGCATTATCAGATTACTTAAACATCATTAAGTTAAAATCTGTTCAATGCTTTATCAATGTATTATAATTGCCTACCTTGCTCATTAACAGTGGATAGCGGGATCGCAGGTCAGCCATATGGAACTCACCCCCATATATCTCCCCAGCGGCAATATAAATTGGAGTCTTTGATGGGTATCCAAGAGCAGTGAGAAAAATTCCAACTTCCTTTGGAGTTAAGGGGCAAAACCCTTTGGACCTCTCTTCTATGGGATTAATGTATTTTCTTTTCCAATAAGTAGTATTCTCTCTACAATTTTGGAGCACGACGGTAATTATCAAAAACATCAGATGTCAGATAAAGACAAAAAGTTTCAACAAATCATTTTGAAGCATCATCAATACCTGATAAACCGTAGCTCTTGAGATTCAACTTTAGATAATTCATGTGTGCACCCACTAAATGCAAGCATGTCCTTCTCATAACGTAAATGCAATGCAATATAGGGACCGAATGACCTCATCCTCTCCACTAATGTCTGAAAGGATCCGAAAGGTATTTGAAAATGAAAAAGAAAATCCTAAGATTAAGGACAGAGTGTGATAAGCAATCAAAGAAACTAATTAGAGTTAAATATCAAGTTATATACTTTTCCCATTTTTTCAATACGAGGAGAGAAACGAAGAGCTTCATAACAAGCACGGCAGCGAAGCTTCTGAATATCTGGAGGTAGATTGTTATTTGCTAACCGAGAATCAGATTTTGAAGCTCGAATTATCTTTAGAGGATTTTAAAAACAAGATGGTCATACAATGTTAGAACTTAAAGTAAATGAATAGATCAAATACGTAGCTGTACACACAAACAGATTTCAATCAGATTACATACATTGAAACTATCCCACAAGGCAGCAATCTCATTCTCATAGTAATCCATACCAGACCAACTTTTGAATTGCATGACGATTTTGGTTGCTTTAACCAGTTCCTTCGGAAGCTTCTTAATGATCTTTATATCATTAGCTAGAGAACTAATAAACCACTCATCATCGAAGATATCAGAGAAATTGCTGCAGATCAAATAAAAGGCTATAAAATAACTCATGTAAAATCCAAAATAGAGAAAGATAATAGAAAGATATAAACACAAACGAGATTCAAAACTTACCTAGTATCATGCCAAAATGATTTTTTATCAAGTTCTGGAATCACAAGAGTAGCATTTATGATACGAGCTATGGCTACCATATCACATATCTGTAGTAGAGGAAACAAACTTTCAGATTCTAGCAATAACAATGGTAAAGAACATCCAAATGTGACATGTACTGGTTTATGTTCTCTAAATTCAAGCTTTTGCAATCAAGTAGACACTTTAGCAAACTTTGTCCTGAAGTCACGTGGAAGTAAAACTTCTCAGCAATTAAACTCGTAGAGAACTTTCTACAATCTAACAACAATCAAATAAGAAGATGAAAATTCAACATGGCATAAGCTAAGTCGCTCACACTAAAACTGTGTTTCATTATTTCATAAGAGATTTATTTAGAGAGAGAGAACCCATACCCCAGAACGCATTTGGTTTAGCCCTCCATTTGTATGAACTGAAAGGTAACCCCGTGACCTTGTCGGAGCTGGATAAACAGTTAAAACTTCAATTAAGGACTGAAACAAATCACACTCACAAATTGCTACACATGTGCAAGTTTATTACTTGTGTAATTAGGAGTAGGCTTCGTGCAGGGTATAAACCCATGATTTGGTGGAGGTTTCCACAATTTCTCGTAGTCTGACTCCTTTCTTGAACCCTTCAACTACAAAACCAAAGGAGTGAAAACAGAGAAAAAGATGCATGCATAATTGCTTTGCATAATTTAAAATATTTCTGACAAATATAGCTGACAAGCACTAAAGCTAAACCAGACAAGTCATTTGACCGTACAATTTGACGAGATCAATAAACATTACCGCTTAGAAGTGAGCAGAACCAAAAGAAAGGCAGTTAACAAAGAAGAAGTCCCCCAATGGCAGACAGGAAAATAAATTAAGAAAACAAAAAGATTCTGCATTAGGATGGTTTTCCAACAGTTAGCAACTTAATCAATAATAACCAAGTGAAAATAGTACATTTATGATTTACCTCATTCATAATACATAATTTTTGGAAAAAATATATAGTATTACTACCCAGTGTATTTCATTTCATAGTCACATTCAGAGCATCCCAAAAACAGAGAGATCAGCAAAATAAATTCTAATAGAATATAATGATTGAAAATACAAAACCTTGGGAACAGAGAGCGGAGTCTTGAATAGATAGGGCGGAACGAGTTCTCGAGTCCAGCTTTGCGGGTCATAAAACTGTCAAATTTAGAATTTGACAAAAAAAAAAGATAGAAACAAGAAAAAAGGAACTTTGATCAGTAAACCATAGAGTAACAACTGAAACCAGAATCTTCAAAAACAAAACCCGAAAGCCAAACTTCCACATTTCAGAAATTGTAGGCTCTAATGGCAATCTAGTTAAGTCAAAATTACTGAAAACCGAATCTTTTCAAAGAGAGCCGCGTAAAATAGATTCATTGTGATTGAATTAACAAAAAACAGAATCTGTTAGAGGCAAAAAACAGTTACAGAAGACGAAAGAATTATGGAGAGCCCTAAAGAGAGTATTTTGATTTGTGGGAAAGAAAGAACAGAGGAACAGAGAGAAAAGGCAGACCGAGGGGATCTTGTCACTGAAGTTGTGATGAGTGGGCGAAGGAGAAACGTGAACGTGAACAAAGAAGAAAGAAGTGAGAACTATGGAGAATATTGAGGCGGCGAGAAACCTTCTGAGCATGCCCAGTGGAACCGTCCGACGCTTCTGCTGCATTGGTCCTCTTCTCTCTACACTCAGCCAGGAAACGCGGAAACTCGTTATTTTTACTTTTAGTATTGAATGAATGAACGAATGAATATGATAAAAGGTAGAAGAAAACAAGGTTGGACAGTTATGTCAAGAAGAATGAGATGAAGAGTGTGAACCTCGGAGTGTGGGGTTCTTCGTCTTCTTCATGGTTTGGTTTGCAGTAAGGAATAAAAAGCGCTGCTCTGTTGCTGTTCGGTTTTGGCTTTTTCTCAACGTCGTTTGCCACCTTGCACTCCTCGCTTTTCTCTACTTCTCCTTCTTTATGTTTAAATATAATTATTTTATTATTATTATTTTCATTTTTACTAATATTTTTTTTTTAAATTATAATTAAAATTGTTCGTGCTTCATTCATGCTGGTTTCAGTTGCAGATCTCCCTCGCCACTCCCGCAAATCTATAGTCGTGGGAAATCAATTTTGAATTTCTGGAAAAAAGTTAAACTCATTCTATAATAAATTACTTATTTTTTAAATAAAAAATATTCATTAAATAATAATGATCAATGAAAAGTAGATTATATAATTCAAAATTATCCAGAATTTCAAATTTATAATTTCCAAAACTTGAACCAATTACATGCTTACCAAAATAAAATATATTAAAAATCTTGAACCTTTTCTTAAATAAATTTTGGATTTAATTTGTATATATGCAATGAATAGTATAGTTATAGCAGTTGGTTAAAATATAGAGAAAAATGAATGTAACGAACAGCCCTTATTATTTTTTTAAATATATTTTGGTAGGTTACTAGTTTAAATCTAAAAACGAGGTTTAAACTTTAAATATTGCATCGCACTAATCAATTGGTATGATGCGCATATTATTTGGAACTGACTACTATTATTCACTTTGTCTCAAATTTTTATCACTTTCTTACTATTTATTTTTACTATGTGAAATTAAAATGGTTCATTAAATTGAAATAACTGGTTTGTTATAACTATAAGTTATATTAGGATTTAAGTTTATAATAAATAAATATTTTTAACATGTTTCTTAAAGAAGTGTTTATATTTATGTAAGTAAACAGTTTTTTCTTTGACTAGCATTAAACATTAAACATTCATTACATTTCACATATAGAATAAAGTTTAATCAAATATTTGTCTTTTACTTGACCCCATCACAATATTATTATTTTATTAAATAAAGTCAATTCAATGGTTAAGAGTTTAATTTTGATGCTTTATCAACAAATCTACAATGAGATTAAAGAAAATAAATATAATAGTTTTTTATTTTCAAAATATATAAGTATAAGGAATTTTTTTTTAAGTTATATTTTTATAGAAGTAGAGAGAGAGAGAGAGAAGGTGTAAGAGAGGAAAACAATATCAAATCACACAATTGCAATTCACCATTGAATATCTTTCAATTTGATTATCTTTTTGAAAAATTTACCTTTTGATTTGAAAGTTACTTTCATATAAATTATATTTACAAAAAAATTATGCTAATATAAAATTATTTAATACTTCAGCTGCTCGATAAAAATGGACATAATATATATTTTATTTCAATACTTTATAAAAGTAAATAAAACATTTTCTTAACAAACGCTACATAAAGATTATATTATAATCTGATTATTTTATAGTTTAATAAAACTATGACACACACTTCATAAATAATTTATAAAAAATGTTTTACATATTTAATTTAAAAAGAAAATATAATTTTTTAAAATATTTTAAAAACGGATTGAATTAAGTAAAAAAGTAATACCAAAGTGATATGGTTATGATATTGGTATGGTATGGGACACTTGTCTACATGCTATTACTCTTTGCTCGATCCCTTCACATATAATTTAAATTAGGAAGTAAATATAAAATATAAAATTTATAAGGAATTGTACACCAAATTTCTTTAGCTGAAGTGTCATTTTAATGTCATCCCACCAAAAAGTTGTCCAGCTAAATTATCCTATTTTGAAAAAGAGAGTTGATAAGTTATAATTATGCAAAATAATTCCATACTTTTAAGTAGGAAATAAATATAACGCTGATAAAATAAATCACCACATTCTAACTCATAAAATGTTCCTTTGTTGAAAGAGAGAGTTGACAAGTTGTTAGTTAAATAAACTTATTTTAAATATTAATAATAATAGTAACTTTTAGAATTTATAGGTAAATTAAATGGTAGTTAAATGAAATATTAGTAAATTATGCACTAAGTATCCAAATAATGTTTTTTATAAGATAATGTATGAGCTCAAACAACACACATGGTTAAGTGACAAATAAATAAAATAGGAAACATGTATATAAAAATGGAAAAAGATTACTGACTTTTATTTTATTTTATTCGTTTTATTTCGATCATATATTTTATTTTTATTTGAAAATTTATTATTATTATTATTATGTTTTTCCTTTTTCATGTTATGATATTTTTCATCTCAAACAAACTCGTGGATTGAGATTGTGTCAATCTTCAAATTTGTCCCATCTTATCCAGTCAATTATATTTTTGTGAATTAATATCTTGTTAGAACTTAGTAATTAACAAGTAATCGATGGCTTATGTATAAGCCCAAACTAAATTGGATTATGCTACCGACCCACTCATATCACGTACAAGGCTTCTTTTTGCACCCTCAGAATTTCTCCATGCACATCAACGGTTTGTGAAGCCTGAAATACCCCAAATATATAAAATAAACTTATGCCCTCTATTTCTTCTCTACACCTCAACCCCTTAGGATTATAAATTTGTTACAAAACAAAACTAGACGTAGTTGCGAAGCTAATTTTTGATTTTTTTTATGTGAGGCTAATAAGTTGGAAAATTTGATAAGAATATATGACTTAAAAGAATTTTTTGACACATGAATGATCATTTTTCTTAAAGATTTATCCACAATGTGTATGTAAATTTCTCAGTTCTCATGTATACAATGTATGTGTAAATATCCAAGGTACAACATGAATGTCTCTATATTAAAGAATTTGGAATTAGTAGGAATAACTTTTTTAAAGGTAAATATAAATTCAAGATCGAAGATATAGAGAGAAAAGAATAAGTAACAGGGAAAGGAAAGATATGTGTGTTATGTGTCTTTGGATGTGAGAAAGAGCACCTATTTATAGGTGTAAGGGGTATAAATGAGTGAAAATATCTTTAGACTTGTGGAACAAGATGTGTAGCATTCAAAAATTGGTTGTAACAACTTCTTGATGCATAACAAAAAGGAAAAACATTTGTGTAGTTCTTATAACTATGTTGCAGCCATATAAGCTTTATTCTTTTGCAATATATTTAAAATATCACAAAAATTCCTCATATATTGCAAAAGATAAGATACAAAAAAGAATGAAAGAAGAAAATTATGGGTCTCATAAGATATAATGCGTCATAACTGGTATAACAAGCTATATAAATCCGTTTTAGATCGAGAAACTTAACTGTAGTTGGTATAACAAATTATATGAATCAAAAACACTTGATATGTGTTAAAGATTTATCAATTATAATACACCCTACAATCTTTATTATTATCGTTATGTTTTATTTACTAGACCATATGTGTGTCCTGTATTCATGAGTGTTTTAGACATCATGTCAAAATCATATGTAAGCTCTCTACTCAACACTCATAAAGTGATTTCATTAAAGTATATGTTACAATCATATACCACCCGTAAAATATATGAAAATCATTAAAAACTTTGTTTAAGCTAAAATTCTTATACTATATAAAATTTTAATTACAAAATTTAACTTTTCAATAATACAATCTCTAACACTCTCCCACAAAGTTGAATTACCATTACTTATTTATGCCAACTTTATATTCTATTACAGTCACGTAAACTTCTTTTATCATATATTGATTATCACAATAAAAACAAACCAGATTAAAAGTTTTAATAATTTTTTTGGCCTTCGTTGTGAGGAGGGAAACAATACTAATGAAAATAATCAGTACTCAGAAACTTTAAGTAACCCATTTGAANTGAAAAATTAGAAAAATAAAGTAAAAAAAACATTTAAAATATTTTTAAACTTTGATTTTTGTTTTTTTAATAATTTTTAAAAATATTTTTTTTAATTTTATCAAATTTGTTTCATTAACCTCTGCAAACTCAATAAATATTTTGATTCTTAAGAAATTTTGTTTAATGTTTTAATTTGAAATGTATATAACTATATTTTTTTATAAATATTTGATATTAAAAATATAAGATTACCTCTTTTAATAATATTATGGTTTATTTATCGTGATTTTTATTTTTTTATAAAATTAATTTTTTAATATTGAAATAGTAAAAAAACAAATACAAACACGAATATGAATGTTAACCCGTTACTTGGAAGATGAAAATGTTATATTTGTTATACATGAGTACGAAGATTTTTTTAAAAAAACAAATATGAAACTCGTCTTCACCTATTACATTTTGGCTCCTTGTTTGGTTACAAACCAAACTTTAAAAATGAATAAATATACTTTTATTAACCTAATTACATTAATATTTCATGACGTTTAAAATGATATTTTAGTTTCACGTTAAATTTTTTATTTAGTTTTTATATGTCAATTTAGAATGTCATTTAATATATATAAAATGTTGAGTTTAGAAGACTATATCAATTATTTTTTAAATTTAAAAACTAAAATGTAGTCAAATTTTTGAAAGAACGATTCCAAATTTAGAAACTTAAATTTATTTTAAAAGTCTAATGAATTTTAAAATGTTGAGTAGACGGAGAGAGAGAAAATAGAAATAATTAAGTAACAGTTAAGTATTTGCAGGTAGAAAATATGAAATAATAATAAAAAGTCGAAGAAACAAAAAATATATTTTATATTTTGTATAAACAAATGTTAATATCAATCTTAATATTTTTAAATTAATATCATTTTCTAAATTTATACACGTGGAAAAACAATTTGTGCAAGGCAAGAACCTCATTCATCTTTGCTCCCATTCATGTGATACTGACACATAAGTATTTTTTGTTTCAAAAATAAAAAAATAGTTGGTCGTTAGTTTCAGAATCAATTAATAAGAAAACCTTTTGAATAATTTACATTTTCGAAAGTCGAAACTTTATTCTTCTCTGGAGCATATCTCATTTGCTGTTGCACCTGCCATTCAACCATGTCACAAATTAGTTTTCACCGAGTAAAGAAAAAGAACAATTTATTCTTATTGGTTTGATTGTGGTGAAAATAAATAATTTTTTAGGATTAAAAATATTTTTTATTTTTAAATTTATTTTTGAAAATTACATTTTGTTTTTAAAATAATATA